GCAGGTGGCGAGAACTTCCATGGCTGAGTAATATTCCATTGTATGTATGTACCATCTCCTCTTTATCTGTTCATCCATCGATGGACACCCAGGCTGCCTCCACATGTCCATTGTAAACAATGCTGCAATGAACATATGGATGCACACGTCCCCTCAAAGTAGTGTTTTGGGTTTCTTTGGATAAATACCCAGAAGTGGGATTACTGGGTCCTTCTTTGACACTTGTTAAGGACTTTGTTTTAAAGTTTCTTTTGTCTGGTATAAATATTGCTACCACAGTGTTTTTTTCCCCCATTTTCATGAAATATCTTTCCCGTCCCTTTACTTGTGTGTCTTTTGATTTGAAGTGAGTCTCTTGTAGGCAGCATATTTAAGGGTCTTGTTTTCTTATTCATTCAGCCACCCTATCTTTTGATTGGAGCACTCAATCTGTTTACATTTCAAGTATCGATAGATATGTAGTTATTGCCATTTTATTATATATACACATATTTATTATATATTCTTAAAGAAGTCCCTTTAAGATTCCTTGTAATACTGGTTTGGTGGTGAGGAACTCCTTTAGCGTTTTCTTGTCTGGAAAGCTCTTTATCTGTCCTTTGATTCTAAATGATAGCTTTGCTGGGTAGGGTAATTTTGGTTATAGGTCCTTTCTTTTCGTCATTTTGAATATTTCCTGCCAATCCATTCAGGCTTGCAAAGTTTCTGTTGAGAAATCAGCTGACAGTCTTATGGGAGCTCCCCTGTAGGTAACTAACTGCTTTTCTCTTACTGCTTTTAAGATTCTCTTTTTGTCTTTAACCTTTGACATTTTAATTATGATGTATCTTGGTGTGGGCCTTTTTGGGCTCATCTTGTTTGGGACTCTGCACTTCCTAGGCTTGTATAGCTATTTCCTTCACCAGATTAAGGAAGTTTTCAGTCATTATTTCTTCAAATAGGTTTTCAATTNGGTGGCAGAAATGTGCAGCTAAGTGGCTGAGTGCAGGGCTGTCTACCTTCTGTGGACTCAGGTGGAGACACCAACACTCAAAGCGTTCCCTCCCCTCCAGGGACAGGGTATGTGCTGCAAAGAGAATGCACTAGTGGGCATTTAGGGCAAGTGGCAAGCTTTCACCTAGCTCCAGGTGCATTTTCCTTTAAATGCCTCCTTAGCCAATCAAAAAAAAATCTTTACTTTGCAGGCCACAACATCCTCTCAGTTAGCAAATTGCATCGCTAGGATAATTTAGTATTGTGTGGGCTATCGCCCTGATTCTCTAGATTTTTAGCTTCTAATTACAATCAGATGGATTTGTTCATTATTCAATGGGTGGAGAGAAGTAAATGGCAACATAGGTATCAGTGTTTTCTTAAAACTAGGGGGGAGCAATGGGCTATCAGGGTGAATCTCACTTTCGTTCTATTGCTCTGGTTAAAGCTCTCTGATGTCTCTTATCGACCTTGAACTACAAATGCCACTGTGGTCATCTGTTTTCCTTCACATAAAGGTGGTATTGACATTCACTTAGAAATACCTAAGCAGAGCATATCACAGATAAAAACGAACTCACCAAACACTTGTTACTCCTCAAGCGTTCAACCGTATTTTTCACCCGATAAAAAATCAGGGGGAATTTTGTTTTCACTGTGGTGTTGGTCATCTGTGACAGACCCTCCTGGAAGCATGGTGTGGTGCAGTTGTCCTGGAAAATAATAACATTTATGAAAAGAAACACTCGGAAGGTGACTTTGAGAAGGAATCACAAAAAGAATGCTTTTAGAGACTTTTAACTTAACCAGTCTAAGCTAAACGGACATTATTTTTAGACAGGTCCCTGGCCAGTCGACGAAATGACCACTATTTCAAGGTGAGGCCATTTTTCTACAGGGACACTCCCTGGAGCTGTCCAGTAGGTTCCATCCAGGGAACATGAGACCTGGAGGTCCTGGAAGACAGCCAGTTCTGAGTCTCCTTTTCGAACGATGCTCCCCTGTTCTAAGCCTTGAAATAGGGAGTTTGAAAGTACAGAGAAGAAGTCTTTTTACAAACCAGCCTGAGGGGATGTGCCGGTTGAATACAGCCAGTATTTTCCGCAGTAGCTAAAATCATGGACTGTAAACCAAGCGGACGGTATGTGGTGTAATTGCATGGTTCTGCCTTATCCCGTTCTCATCTGATGGGGGGCCCATGATGGGGTGTGATGACTGACCTCAGCTGGGGTGAGAAGCTCAGATTTTCTCAGGCTTTGCTTCGGAGAGAGCAAAGCAGTGCCCCTTGGATAGGTTCTTCCTCCTCACTTTACCCAGAAAGTTCCTGCTACGCTTCCTCTCAGCCAATGTGGGCAATGAACTAACTTCTGGAAGCCCTTTCCACCCACAACCTCAGCCATTCTGTCTTCCCAGAGAAAGGCCACCCTAAGTTAGCTAGATAGACAGGAAGGGAGGGAGAAAGGAAGAGGGAGGGCGAAGCCACAGCACACAGATAGTTTATCCTGGAGAAAACATAAAGAGCTGTCATTTTATTTACATTGTCTTGCAATCTTAGTTATCAGCATATGGATTAGAAAGCAATGTGATAGGGGCTATACCATGTTATAGTCTCAGTTCCAGTTTGATGTAATTGTTCACTAATAACCATTCATCTAAACAGACATTCAAGGTTCTTCTTTAAATATGAAAAAAATGCTCAAACGTCTCAAGGGGCATAAAGCTGACTAAATACAAAACAAAAATGTATACAGTATAGAATTTCAAGAGCCTGGTTTTACAAGGAGATGCTAATCTGTAGTGATTGCAATTAAGTAACACTTCCTCATCTAAAAATATCAAGTAAAGCAATTGTTTCTACTTAAAAACTTAAAAAGAACAAGATCAAGATTATGTTCTTTTTTTATACTTACAGAAGGAATGGGCAGACACGAACAATTGGTCACCTGCAAAAGAGAAATTTCAAAGTGAAGATTCCAGATGTGAACATTAAAATTACTCTGGAAAGTTTTTTTAAAAGAGCATTTACTCACATTGCCACTGCAGCTGCACGTTGAAGATGGATCTTTCTAAAGTAGATAGAGAGACAAAAACCCATAATGGGAGGTGTGTTTTTTCATCCTCCTAAGAAATTGACTTAAATTTTCAATAGATGCCTTTCCCACTGGTGCCTCCCTCTGCATCTTACCTGTAGGTTGTTGATAAGGTGCTGCATATCCTTGATCCCTACCAAGGTTAAGCACCCCTGGCCGGCCACCGTGCAGAGGAGAAGGGCAGAGACGACCACGGTTGGGAGCATGTTGACACAGGGCTGGAGCTTGGCCTGTAGATGCCTTCAAATTGAGTCGTATTTAAAGCTCCCTTGCAAACATGGAAAAACCCTGACATCAAACTGATACCAGTTGCCCACTTTTTCTCTGTAAGTTTGGGCCACTTGACATTGAAAAAAAAAGATATATACATATATCATATCAAACTGAGTCACTTGGCAAAGACTGTTACCTTGTCTCAGAAAATATCATTCCTCAGAAAAGATGCTTTTGAAAAAGTTGGGTACTGAGATGCTATAGAAGTTAAAGATCTTAAAACTATGTTTTTTTTTTTTTTAAAGGCAGAGATTCTGGTTGTGAGAGTTAGAAGACTTTCCATGAAAGCCCAGGGCTGTATTTTCCCTTTTTCACTTTATTGGAAATGCTGATATAATAGCCAGTCACAGGTGTTCTAGTGAAGGAAGGGGCTGGGGTGGGGGAGAGGGTGGGGGGAGGGGGAGGAGGATGAGAGATAGTAGTTTCCTGAGTGGTTCTGTTTATCAGGGTTTT